GAGAACTGAAATATAAAGGAAGAAGCGAAGAAGAATTCTTTATTCACGAAGTCGGAAATGCGGGCTATTGCCGCTTACATCTGATCTATGCCAGACAATAAAAAAAAAGAGAGAAAAGAGACAACAAACAACTAAATACGATTTTCTCTCACACGGCGCCAACGCCGTCGTTATCATCATCACCACTGGCGTCCCCATCAACTTCGGGTGTCGCCACATCATATCCACAGTTGGCTCAAGCCTCACGAGCCTTCTGGCGCGCCTCCTCGAAAGCTGCCTCAGTCACGATGTCCACCTCCCACAGGTTCTTGAAAATATCACGTTGAGCTTCGGCATAAACCCAGAGTTCATGAGCCTGGCGGGGAACAACGACACAGGATGATCCAGCATGGGCCCTCAACCGCTGATTCTCCTCCTCCAGGGCCGCAACCCGATCTGAGAAGGCTAAGGCCTCCATGTCAGCCGCGCCAATCCGCTCCTCGAGCCTCGCCTCCTTAAGGGCCACAGTAGCTCTCTCTGACTCTCGCTCGGATTCATGCACACGAATTGCCGCTTCCAAGGCCTCTTCCCTCGTCGAAGCATCCAACGCCGCCCTCTCCATACGCCTCGAATTGGCAACCGTGCTTTCCAGCGCAACCAACTTCCCGCTCCATTCAGCGTTCATCTCCGCTGTTCTGGCCTGGCTCTGCTCCATTTCCAACTGCATTGCTCGTAACTTGCCCTGCAGGTGCTCGCATTCCACAGCGATCCCTTTGCCTACCTCGAGCTCCTCGTCCTTGAGGCGGATTTGCTCTTCGAGCTCGCTCTTGCTGCGGAGCTCCTGAATTGGCTCCTGGTCCTTCTTCTCCAACTCCTCGCCCAAAGCCCGGTTGCGGGGATCAGTCCTTAATCGTTCGTGCAACTCACGGCACCTATCGCGATAACGATGGTATTTTTCTAGCATCTGCAAGAAGATCCTCGACCGGACATTGGCCTTGCGAATATTTTCTACCTCCAACATGTACGTCTGCAAAACAAGAAAGCGGTTAAACTCATGCTCATTCTGCAACGACGGAGGAACAAATCGAAATCGGATATAACATACCCGTAAGCCCATCACAGCTACTTCGTCCATTACCTCGACATCCGAAACATTCCTCAAGGACTCGTTTTCGGCCTCCAAACACAACAAGCTGAATCGTGGCACCAAGTTGCCTCCTTGTGTCAACAGGTTCACATCGGAGGGGTCTCAACAAGACGAGTCGACCCCTCCGCATTGACCACCGAGCGAGTAATTCCCTCCTCGAACATCCGGACGTCATCAGGGTCCAAGTCAGACTCGGACTCGTACTCGTCGATCTCTACTCCCTTCCCCCTTTCAGCTACCGAAGGTGCGGCGCGACCTGCCGAGGGTGGCAACGGCATGCTCGAGCACACGACGGCAGCATCAGGGGCCCGATTCTTCACCACAACGAGAGGTCTTGCGTCACAAACAGTGGGGACTCCTGATTGGGTCGCTACACCAGCGAAGTTCTCCTGGCTCTGACTGGTGGGAACAACCCCGACCACCTGCTCCCCCTCAGCGGTAGACGTCGCAACAACTCCTTCCTCTGGGTTTTCTGGGGTGAATCCAAGTTGATCACCGCCGGAGGGACCATCTCAAACCCTACCCTCCGCCTCTTTGTCGGCCCTTCTTCCTCCCCGGCTGATGGCGAGTCGTTCTGAGGACGGACGGTACCAGACCGACCCTCCTCGGAGATACAGTCCGGGTTGAGCGGCCAAGGCCACAGATTCTACCGATGCCTCCCTTGACGGACGAGCTGCAGGTACCGCACTGATACGAGCGGATACGGACGGCCGACGGAAGGCTAGCTGAGGAGCCCTGACTCTGCGAACCCTCCCTGGCCACGGCAAACAATACTCGAAAGGTAAGATCAAAACGAAAGAGAACGGGTAAAAAATAAGGGCGCTATCTCGCCTGTGAGGGGCCTACGTCCGAATCTCAGATGAAACGTCGACCATGTACGAACTCCCGCCGTATGAGGAAGAATGGCCTCGACCCATTCTCGGATCCCCTCCAGAGGAGGCAGGGGTAACTTCTCGGCTGCAACGCATCGAAATAGATCAACATTTACATGAGATATAAAGAAAACGAGGCCAAAGTGGATAGTCTACTAGTCAAAGATGAAGACTTACGGGCGAAATTCCACACTTCTGGAAACCCAGTTGGATCCGCTACGAGATGCTCGATCCGCACATAGAAAAAGTTATCGAAAAACGGCGATTGGTCCTGTCGTCCATATTGACCACTAAACCTTTCGACCCTCGGGGACGCACATGGATCATAGTGCCGCGAATCTTTTGAGGGGCGAACAGGCTGAGCACGTGTCTCAGAGTGACCTCCCGACCGGCTAGCTCCGCGTAGTTGATAAACATGAGGAACAACTTGTAAAGGTAAGGAGAGAGTTGGGCAGGACACACCTCATAATAGCGACAGAAGTCGACCACCAACATTGGAAGCGGAAGTGTGTACCCCACTAAGAAGGGGTAAGCATAGAATGAGCAGAACCCGGGACGGTTGATCTGGACCCTATCTTCTCTCTTCGCCGGCACCATCTCGACATAACCAGGAATACCCCATCGTGCCCTTAAATCTGCTATTCCGATCTCCCCTATGAGAGGAGGAATATTTACCTTCTCCGCACCACCATCGGCGTTGAAATCCACCACTGCCTTCCCCGGGCGGGACAAAATTTCCTCGATCGAAGGAACATCTTCGCACTCTGTCGAGTCTACGTCTCTGTCTGCTAGAGAAGGGTCCCCGGCTGCCGAAGAGAAAGCCGAAAGTCTACCGAAAGAAGAAGTTCCTGTCATTTTTATCTCACAAGAAGAGGAGGGAGGAACTTTGAAGAAGAAGCGAGAAAGCTCAAGATCACCGCGAGCAAAGGAGTCAAGAAAAACTCAGACTAATGGAAAGGGAGATATTCTGGGAATTCTCTCGAAGATAAACAATAAAGTGTGAGAAACGAGTGACAAACCCCTTCAATTTATAAGACACATATTCTCTGGGGCGCAAAAACCAACGGTCACCGCCAGAACCTGGCTGGGCACGAAACGATTTAGCTCTTCGGGAACGTGCGCCGTTGTGACCACCGATACAAAGCTACGTTTCGTTTATCAGCCGGCTCTTCGGTTTCGAAACCATCGTGACGGCATAAGAAGCATTAAAGAGATGCCTCCAGGCAGTTTCGAAATTTATAACGCAACCGAAGAAAAACACGCGGATCTGACTCCCTCCACGATTGCGCCGCAAGCATTGTCCGTCCGCCGAGGTCGGTAAGATACGACCCCGACGAACGGAGGGACTAACTGTATTGGTCAGAATCTAACCACACGATCACAGCATCAAGGACCCCGTCCCGACCACCCTACAGCAGCAGTCAACAAATTCGACCTCGCCTAATAGTTGCTATTCATGACATAAGTGTCGAGGTTGAGGCCTCCCCATGCGGGGAGGTCATTTCCCCGACCCGTCCCAAACAAAATGTAACCAGCATGAGGAGTTTTGGGCTATAAATAGAAGGAAGAAGAACCCCTTAAAGGGGGGAGGGGGGGGGGGGCTCGAAGGGAGACAAGGGGAGAAAACAGTCTTAGGAAAAGAAATTCCACCTCCTAGGAGAAGAAAAAGAATTTGATTGTAATCTCCCGAACCTCTTCAAAGAGAGGCAGGCCGAATTTCTATAATCAATAAAAATCTTCCAGGTGTCATTTTAATTGATTCTTCTATCTGTACGATTATGTTCTTCGATCCAGTATCAATTAATGTTGACTACGATTTACCCCTTCATCTTCTTTGATTGATTTGCTTAGAAAGTATTAAACTGCTTTTGGGTCAAACAACTTACAACTAGCTTTCAAGTAATTTAAACTTCTCTACTTTCTCATTTTTATTGATCCCAAAAACTTATAAGCAAATATTCCTTCCGTTCATTTTTACTTGACAGATATAGTAAAAATAGATTTTCATTTTTAGTGGGCGTTTGGACATAAGAATTGTAGAATTCCAAAATAGGACGAAAATTTTTTTCAAGTGAAAATGGTATTTGAAATTTAGAGTTGTGTTTGGACATGAATAGAATTTTGGGTTGTTTTTGGAGTTTTGTGAGTAATTTGAGTGAAAATTTTGAAAAACTGTTTTTGGAGTTTTTCAAATTTTTGAAAATTTTCAAAATACATTTTCAAGTGAAAATTAAAATTTTTATGAACAAACGCTGATTTCGAAAAAAGTGAAATTCTTTTGGAAAAAAGGGAAAAATTTCTTATGTCCAAACGGGGTCTTACTTGTCACTTTACGCATATAAAGAGAAGACAATTTTTTTTCTTCTATTATACACACAATATTTATTATTCATTTCATATCATTTTCTCAAATCCAATAAAATATGCATTAATTAATATGGGTATCATGGTAAATTATGTGCTTCATTTATTATTTCTTAAAAGCCATAAAAAGTCAAAACGTGCCAAGTAAAAGTGAACGGACGGAGTACTTGGTTGCAACGTGCTAAGCAACTTAAGAAACCTAACAAATTTAAAGCAAGCGCGCATATGCAAGTAGATTGCGGCGTTGGAGAGCAATTGACAACATTCTCAATACGTACGTACTGAGGCAGTAGATTTAACACAATAACATGAACAAGCTGGCACTTTCTTCAGCCCCGTTTGGCTATAAGTTTTTTCAAAATGAATTTGGGATTTATTTTCAAAACTCATGTTTGACCATAAATTTTGTTCATATTTTGGCCAAATCCCAAATCCCAAAATTCAAATCCCAAAATCAGCTATTGAGCTAATTTTGGGCCAAAATCCCAAAACTTGGGAATTATATACATGTTTTTCCAAAATAAAGTTGGAAAATATGTTTTGAAAACGTATGTCCAAACACATTTTCATCTTCAAACCAAACTTCACCCAAATCAGATTTTTCAAAATAAATTTGGGATCTATGGCCAAACGCTAGCTTCATAAACCCAAGTTCAAATTATTTGCTCCGTATAATACAAACATAGAACAATTGGTAGAGAACGTTTTGCTTCCCGTAGTGAGACTTCTCAACGTGCAATAGGATTAGTCAGACTCTAAAGCGAGTACCGTAACAATTTACTTTCTAGAATCGAGCAGAGGCGGAGCTAGCCCACTGACTACGGGTACGGCTGAACCCAATCACTTTGATCCAGATCATGTATTTGTCTTACAAAATTCATTGAATATGTAAGAATTGTAAATTTAGAACCCAATAACTTAAAAGACTAAAACCTCGAACCCATAAGCTCTAAATCCTAGCTTCGCCTCTGGAGTCGAGAAACTTATCATATAATTGGTCTGATTTTGATGCATACAAAACATTTCTATAGATGTGTTCTTATTTTATGTTTTCCCTCAAAATTCATAAAATCGAAGTATTGTGTACTGTGTGGTCACTTCAGATTTGAATAAGCTGCGAACAGCCCAATGACGGGTGAGGAGATAACGGTGATAAAGGCGGGAGGTTAAGCATTCCGTTAGTATTCTGTTCCCAAAGGAAGTTCCAACTTGACGGAGTTAATGGCCATGACTCCTCTTCCTTACACTTCTCCACTTTCTTCACTTCCTTCTCATCTCCACATTCTTCTGATTCTCTCCGCCGCTTCACGCTGCCGTCCATGGCGGAGCTTGAATACGACAGGTTCTTCCCCACCTCCAACGGAAAATTCAATATCGCCTTACTTCCACGCATCTTAAATGCGGCTCTATCGTAAGCCTTCGCCGCTTCAACTGCGGTGTTAAATGTCCCAAGCCAAACCCTAGCACCACGGCGTGTCGGATCTCGGATCTCCGACGCGTACTTCCCCCACGGCCGCTGTCGCACTCCTCTGTAATGCCTTTTCTCTTCAGTTTTCCGGTTCTGTTGCATAGTCACCGAAACAATTGAATTCGACTGAGTCGTCGAATTACCAAAACCGATCCACTCAAATTTCTTCACTGGTGGTAAATCAATTTTCAATGAAGGTTTCCGATCACTAACGTTACTCAACTTAGGTGATGTAAGGTCAATGATTACTTGAGATTTCTCGTATTCGGAGCTTGAAAGTGTTGGCTCCGATTCGAGTTTGATGAAATTGGTTGAATTATGCACTGAATTTGCCGATTCCGCGCTCGAATTTGAAACTTCTTTTCCAAATTGAAAGAAATCAGCTTCAAAATCGAATGAATCGGAGAGAAAATCAAAGGGAAGAGAGTCTGAACTAGCAGATTCGGATTGAGAGCTAGAACTCTCCGTCATAATATCACTACACGGCCTACTACTCGTTAGTTCCGCCCCAAATTTCAAAGTTTTTGGGGAGAAATCCCCGAGAAGATGGTTTCTAATTTTTTCCAATGCAAAATATTCATCAAAACATTCCATTACTGAGGTCCAATATATGAACTTGAGAGTTTCAAAAATTGAGAAATTAAAGATAATGAAATTGAGAGAAGCTGTAGAAGGAGTAGACTGAATTTTTCAATGGAGAGTGGATAGGGAAGTGGAAATATATATACGGATTGAAGATAAGGCTTTCGTCTAAAGATGATTTTGTCGCTATAGATTTGGAAGTTTCATTTCTGGTGCTTAAGGTCTCTCCGAACGAAGCTTCGGTCAAATGTGTTACGACTTTGTAATAATTTTCAGAGGACAAAGTCTTCTTTTGTTTCTGAATCGTTGGATCAGCTGGGGTTTTCGAGGACAAGGAAGATCAACGGTTCATATTTGTCACGAGGTAAAATCTTAACCATCTTGTCTGTTGTTTCGTTTCTTTCCTAGGTATTTCCAATAATTGGATAAGAAAAGTAGAAAGTGCTAAAGTCATTGTTAAGCAATAATTTGCTTTATGGTATAGTATGTTTTTATTTTCTATAGAGTATAATCATAGCTAGTTAAGTAAAATACATGTATGATGCTATTTATAAATTCTTTTAATGGTTATTAACCTACTTTTGTATCAACGGTAAAATGTGAAGGATATTGGCTTCGGTCCTATTTTTATCTTGTTGTTATTTCTATTTGTTGTCATTATTTTTTTTCATTCATTCTCCGGCCGATAGTGCATCAAAACAATTCTCTGCTCATCCAGATTAGGGGTAAGGCAAAGGCGGCTTAACCCTCGGACCACTAAATTAAGCGGCTGCTTTAAGCCTCACAAAATTAAAGGTCCCAAAAGCTACTCTTTTTATATGTTATTTAAATATTTATTATTAAGTAGTGATAAAAAAAATTTCAACCATCTTTTGCTACCTTGTCACCAATCGTTAACAACATAATTTTATATTCTGTCTCGTCTTTTTTCATAGTTGGTTGAGAAAATTCAAATGAAAGTGAAAGGCAATTAAATCTCCAATTACTTTCTAGCTAGTTCTTCTTACTCCAACTTGAATAAAATTTATTTATAACNAAGGGTAGTTTGGTTTATTTATGTGTTATCGGATTAGTTAGTTAGTTAGTAGCTAATGAAGTGATTGATTGGTTAGTTGGGTGGTTATATTAGTTGGTAACACATGTGTGTGTGTGTGATATATATATATATATATATATATATATATATATATATATATATATATATATATATATATATATATATATATATATATATATATTTATTGTGTGTGATCAAGTGGGCCATTTGAGCTAGGCACCTGAAGTGTGCTAAGATTGTGTGAACATAATGATTTCTCTGTGAGACTGATTACTTTGACAACTATATTTGATATAGGCACACTGATTTACCTTACTCATGCTAGGCAGTGGTCCGATATTTGATTACTTGACATGAATATTTGACATGTAGGCATAGAGATATACCTTCCTCATTCTAGGCAATGATATGCCATTTGATAACTTGACATGTATATATGACATGAAGACATAGAGATGCATTTTCCTCATGCTAACTGGTAAATGTAAAGTCTTATCTAATTCTGTAATTGGGGAAAAAACACTGTTCTTTTGATAAACTCATGTTTAATTTATTTAGGTGGTAAGATTTATACATGGACTATACTTGATACTTTCCTGTATCTATGAACGAGCTGAGCATTACAACTCTTGATTTGTATTTCTTTATTGTCTTCACTATACTGTTATGAATTGTTATTGTCTATTGATGATGGACACTAACCTTCTTCCGAGCTCGTCACTACTTTCAACCTGAGTTTAGGTTTGTTACTTATTGAGTACATGCGGTCTGTTGTAATCGTACTACACTTGATGTTGTTGTGCATGGCGGGAGCAGGCACAACAGATGTACCTGCATTCTGGTGATAGCTGCAGTTTCTCCTGGGTAGCTTTAGATTTTTGAAATTTGATTTACGTATATTTTGAAATGATGGTGTATTTATTTTGTACTAACTTTTTAAATTCCATATCTTAGAAGCTCATGAATTATACTACCAATGCTTGGAAGTTTGAATAGAAATCCAGTCTTGTTACTCTTTTGCTCTTATTATTCTCATATGAGTTGTGTTGAAAATGTTACTTGGCTTACCTAGAGGGTTAGGTTAGATGCCATCATGACTAGTTGAATTTTGGATCCTGACAAGTTGGTATCAGAGCTATATGTTCATAGGTTCTACGAGTCATGAGCAAATATCTAGTAGAGTCTTGCAGATTGGTAAGATGACATCCATACCTATCTTCGAGAGGCTACATGGCATGCAGAAAAATTTCCCATCTATCTTTCCTTATCGTCTAACACTGATTCAGCTTGAAGCGTATTTCTTTGAACTCTTTCTACTAACTCGTACGTGATGTTGAGAACTCAGTATCAGTTTTGCACTGATGGCTTGTGATGTCGTGGATGAGGTACGAGATGTGTTCTATGTATTGTGGTGCTAGGACATTCTGGAGTACTTGAGGCCAGGTTCATATAGTAGCTTGGACTCGATGGTTCTAGTTGTGTGAGTATGTGCATTTGGACGAATATGCCTGGTAATATCCTTAAGGGTGGGATTGATGACTCCGTGAGTGGTTGGATAGCTATATGATAAGCATGGTGTGATAGGCAGATGTGTTCAGATGGCCTCGATGCGATGATAAGAGTTTTCTTGAGATGTAAATTGAACTATTGGGTGCTTGATTTCTGTCTTGATATATTGTACAGTCTCAAGTTATAAGTGTATAGAGGGATCTATCATGTTGTTCATGGGTGGGATGAAGTAGACTCTTATGCCTTGTTGGAGAGTTTAGACTCGGGAAGATGAAGTGATCAAAAAGTGATTGTGACTATGATGGGGTCATAGAAGGGTGCCAATTGGGCTAAGTAGGTGGATTATCTCCTGCAAAATGTTCTGAGGTTGTGTGATCCCTATGATGTATCTGTGGAAAGTTTTGCTTCTACCAGTGGGTTATATGTGTTGCAATTGAATTTGGATCGTTTGAGGAGGTTGACTCGACTATCTCAAGAATGAATGTGCATTTAGCAGAAGATTTGAGGTATTTTATGATTTGTACTACATGAGTTCATGAAAGGGTTTTGTTGAATTGCAGTGCAGGATTATGCAGTAATGGAGTAAGGGTATTGTGGGTTATTGGATGTTGTGATCTATGGCTTTGAGAGTGAGGGAGGATACTATTGACGATCAGATGGCATGGTCATGTGTTATGTTAGTTTTAGTCTGAGGCATATATGTAGATCGGTTATGACTTCAAGAGGTTAATTTCAAGAATGACTCGAGTAAGGAAGTTTCTGGCTGCATGATGTATTACACTTTATAGATAAATAAATCTTGGAATGATTTGGGTACTCTTGATGAATGTAATGTGCTAACAAAAGGGAGTCACTCGATCGCATTAAGGTGGGGTTACTTCTATAGGGTTTTTGGTTTACTACTGGATCACAGGTCATTCGGCTTGTTTGGGTGGTGCATTTGAGATTAGAATAGGGTGGATGACTCTCGAGAAGTTTCTAATGGGTTCAAGATTCATATGTGTCATTTGAGGAATTTCTGAATGGGTAAATTGCAAAGATTTGAGATTTACATTGGATATTACCGAGACCCACGATATTTTTATATCATTATAGATTCTAAATTTCAATATCAGAGAGGTTAAAGAAACAACGTCTGATTCACATAAGGTCTCTTCAGAGTGGGTATCTCGGACGCTGTATTTTTGGGTACCTAAGAGGGTATACAATGGCTTATGGGCTTTAGGATTACGAGGTTTCATGCTAGGATCTCTTGTAGTGAGCTTTGGGTTAAGGATCATAGTGTATTGGCAAGGATAGGTGTTTACTTAAAGGAAATTTGGAAGGAACTCAGAGAAATAAGACATCTTGGTGGTATATTGGATCAACATAGTAACGGATATGATCGGTTCTTTTGGTTCTTATAATGTGGTGAGATATTAAAGATTTATTGTGGCAATACTCTTGGGTTTGGCGACCTGCGTGACTTGGCTGAGTTAGAGGGATTCACTTCTGATCGCTTGGTGCTGCACTAATGGGTTTTGAAGAGTTCTCTATGATTTCGACCACGACTTTGGGCAGAGAGTTCTACTGGCATGAGGAGTGTGTTGCGCGTTATGATATTCTCCTAGATGGGGTCAGGTGAAAGGTTCATGGCTGATGGAATATGTATTTTGCTGGTGCTTTTGAGATGATAATGGGATTCTCGTGTTGTCATATGATGCCATGATAGATGCGGTGCAATGTGTGGGATTGAGATTTACATGTACAAGGCTGCGGTTCCATTTCGAAGGGAAGGTCATCATTTTTCCACAACACAGACGGTTTCGGATGTTTATAAAATGATGGTAATATTTAGTATCACCAAAGATGAGTGTGCATTACATAAAGGTGTATTTTGTTTTACTTACGGATGCTTGGCTGGAATTATGGTAATCGCCTAGTTGATCGACTATGATGTTTATATTTTGTTATGTAGCATAGAAGAATTATGGAAGTATTTCTCGTGAGATGATTGTGCATAAGAGATGTGTCAGTCATTTTGGTGGTCGATTCGGGATCAGATAGGGAGATTTTTGTATTTCTGTGATTTGGAGACTGGGAGTCTCAAATGTGGACTATTCCTTGGTTGTGGACTATGAAAATATGGCCATTGTTAGAAAGTTGATAGTATATGCTATGGATATGTTTTAGTAGATCTTTGGGAAGGTTATCTACTCATTTCAGGAGGATCGAGATCCATTTGGAGGACACTGCAAGCCTAATGAGAATGTGTATTCAACATCGGGTCGGATTTATTTGCTCAGCTCAACTACTATTGAAAGGTGTGTTATTGGTTGGAGTTGATCTTATTCGTTTCTGATTTGTTCCATGAGTTACTCTTCTATGCTACGATGGGTTGTGAGACTGTTGAATATGTACACATGATACGATTTTGTTTGGACCTAGTGGCGGAGTTTGAGCGAGATAGATTTAGGGTTGTTGAATGGTTGATTGCGCTTTGGTTATGGTTTTTCTATTTGTGGTATATTTTTCTATATGTTTCTCCATGGATATGATCATGCACATCGCGTATTTGTTGTTGATATGCATATGGTTGTTGATTATGAGCATCATGGTTTGAGGTATTTCATATGGACCAGTGTTTTGACTGGGTCGCTCGTCGTTGTAGAGTTATGTAGGGATGTGATCCTTTGTGTTTATCTTGTATGGTTTGGTTCTCCTTTGTGTGATGGGTTAATACCAGTGCTCTTGTGGTGGTATTTGTTGAGCTTGCGGAACGATTCTCTTATTTGATTCTCTTTCTA